GAAGGCAGCTTACTCGTGCTTTACGGCACAAATTTTAAATTGGCGACTACGCTTCGGAACATATTTTGACAAATTTTCGATTACAAATTTGAAACCTGAACAAAAAAACATTCTGAATTGGTCTGGATTGTAAGGATTCAGTCGTTAAACCCGTAACTATCGTTCGGAATACCACATGTTAAAATCTTCCAGATTGCATGATTAGAAATCACATTCCGACTGTCACTTTCATAATCTGGTAAGCGACGCTCTGATTGGTCGGATGAAAGGTCGATCTGACGTGACCCCTCAATGGGATGTCTTCAGATCTTTGTTTAGCGGTAGCGAGCATTCGTGACCAACTCGTGTTATTTCGGGACAAGCCTTCTTGCAGGTTACGGAAAGGGGCGAGTGGTGACGAATGGGTAGCGAGAACTAAGGTCTGATTTTAATGAGATTGCTATGTTCTTCATAATGGGGGCGGTGGGGTAGCCTAGTGGTTAAAAAGCGTTGGCACGTCACGCCGAAGACCCGGGTTTGATTCCCCACATGGGTACAACGTTTGAAGCCCATTTTCGGAAATACGTATTTGAGTAAGGAAGAGTAAATCCAAACATTAGATTCTATTCAAAACTTCATATTAAAAACTGTTTTTTATTATAAACTGCAAATGTATTTATTATATATACACATCTGGCTTGGCATGTACAGTTCATTTGTTACATCTAACCTTCTTTGATTTATTTATTGTATCATGTCTTAAGAGTAATGGAGCGGTATTAACATAAGCGCTTCGCTTGTTTACCAATCCATTTTCAAATTTTTGTGAAAATAAATATGTTTAAACCATATAACTTCGTGCACATGGAGTCATGTGATTTAACTAAACCGAAGTTATATGACAACAAATCTGAATCCTAGTAGTATTTGGTGTAACCTCTCACTGAATTATTAATAACATGTGACATGGATTTAAAGGAACAGGACGTCGACCATTATGAAGCTTACTGGGCTCTGCTCGCCTGCAAAATGGAAACTGTGGGTAAGATTGGCTTCATACAACCGAAAAATGGTTTAAGCGTAATGCTGGCTTTGATACACACTGGCTTCCAACCTAATCAAGCTGACAATTAGTATTTTCGTAGCTCAGCCTTAAGAAAAAAACATGAGCTTTCTCTTCAGTTTCCCTCTATTAAATATAAAAGACTGAACCCAGTTTAATCTGCACAGCGTACAATGTGTGAAGCCCATTTCTGGTGTCCCCCGCCGTGATATTGCTGGAATAATGCTAAAAACGGCGTAAAACCATACTCACTCACTCACTCACTCACTCACTAATCTGCACAGCGCTTGCGTTGTCGGCTTCGCTGTGCGGAGCTCTATTGTTTCGGCTTGAATCGGCATGTGACGTAACACACGGACATTTTTGCAGGCATGATTTAAAAACACAGACCTGTCGACGTACTGTGCCTGTGACTCTAAAATACCAATTTTTTATCATACTTGAAACGTATTTTGCCTCTTAACGTGAAGTTGTAGGCAAAAAGATGGAACAGCCCGTCAGTAAGCCCTGTTCGAGGATTATCAATTTACCATACCGATTGATACATATTTGATTGTATACCCATCTCCTGGAAAACAAGATTATTCTTAAAATGGGCGTCTTTGAAAAGTGATACAATTTGCTCTGCCCCATGTGTAGAGTAATAAAATGTGCTCTGCCACGATATGTAGCGTTATAAGGTATAGTTTTGTCCTGAACGAGGGGTATGTGAGAAATATACACACAATGTAGGCTGGGGAATGTTTGTAATATATTTGAAATGTGGCCCCGGAAACGTTTGACATGTATACTGCACCTATTTGTATATTTCCGTCCATTAATCGTGCTTGATTAATATAGATATTAATACTGATTCTTTTCCACACCTATTCGTACGTCAGACACAAGATGCTACGTCAGTCTTCTCACAGCTGCCTTGTCGATCACGCTGGGAACAATTTCATCTCTTCATCTTCATAGAAAAAGGCACTAAAAGTTATTTTAATAATGTAGATAATGTTGAAATAATAGGATACACATATAGACGGAGGAAATGTGTATCTACCTGAAATCTGTTGTGCCACCACAACACTGTCGTCATAGAAACCATCTCAAAGAGAGGACCACTGACTTAATCTATTCATAGTGTTCCTATTACGTTAAGTTGCGATAAGCTGTGAATTTCTCAAGCTGGGTATTGTTAGGGTTTGACTGCTTTACTTTCTCCTGCCAGCAAGGCTTTTACTTCAATTATATCAATGTGAAAGGTTGTTGTTTGTTTGCCTACTTCTTGTGTAAAATCACCTGTGCACGTGTTCGGGGTTCCCGGTAGGCGATATGGTCATTGAAGATCAACTTTGCCGCGAGCATAAAATGGTGACCAACTCATTAAATTCGAAATTAACAAGTGGCACCGCGTCGAATTAAATCGCTTTTAAAAAAAACACGAACAATGTGGGTCAGAACCTGAGCTTAGAGTTTGACTGGTAGCGTCCGCAGCTTGTCCACCTGTAGTGTCCCCTCCCCCCCTTCACCTCCCCCCCCCCCCCCCCCTCCCACTTGAGGGTGCTTTCAGCACCGGGGCGCGCTTTGTGAGCAGAGAAAGCCGGCCTGTGACGGAACACGTGGGACAGACCGGTGATTAACCCTTTATGAAATTAAACATCCCTAAATTATTGTTACATCCCCGCGTTATTAAGCCGCTGCACGTGCAGATGTAGGTAAGAGCGTCGGGGGCTACCGTGCCGCAGGTGTCCCCCTTTCACCTGCGTCCCCACATCTCCCAGATGGACGCGGAGTGACCAGCGTTAGTCCCCCTTTCCACCCGACCCCTCCTAATTCGCCATACGGGCCTGGGGCCCAGTTAGCGTCGACCCTGTCAGGTTATTAGCGAGTACGTCGGAGGAACTATCTGTTTCATGTTGTGCACGTGTTACCGATGTCATTTTTTTTAAATTAAACACACAAAGGTTTTCCCTGTCCCCACCTGAGAAGGGGGACCAGGTCCACAGTGGACGGTCTCTACCTGGGGGTAGCGCTGGGCCCGGTAAGGCTTACCTCAGCACCCAAGGGGCGTCAGAATAACCAGTTTGCCTTTCGTTGTACAGATGTTGATATAATGATATCGGGGAGCAAATGAATCGCTCCCATTACAGAGCCTTTGTTCCGACTTTCTCAGGTTGACTATAAAATATTAATTTGAAGCAGACTTTCAGCAGTATGAACCTTTGTTGTTTAATAAGAACGTATTACCTCGACAGCTTGGCCATATGTCTCGATGCTTGAGCACCATCACGAGAGAGCTGCCGAACAGCGAACTGTTATATTATTTATACAGTCATACACATTATGGAATGGGATTCCCCCGATGTACGACCATACTGGTAACAGTCATGTCAATTGTCTGCAGCAAACGCAGCCTATATTATCTGGAGTTGCTTCGTCTTATGAACAGTACTCCATTGCCACGTGTTAACGAAGATGTATATCAATATCTACAGTAAACTACGGTTATAACGAACTCAAAGGGACCACTAATTTTAGTTCGTTATAACCGTAATTCGTTATAAGCATATATACAGCATAACTACAGCAAATAGTCGGGACTAAAAAATGAGTTCGTCATATCCGTCAGTTCGTTATAAGCGTGTTCGTTATAACCGTAGTTTACTGTATATTAGGGGACACGTGTCACTTAAAACTGGGATGATGTCCTAGACAGGGAAAATTGAAAGAATAATTCAGAGCAGTTTGTACAGATAGATATCATAACGAATACAATAACTTTGCTTGAAAGGTCTGAAAACATGCATGGCCAGAACACACGGCAAGTATCTGTAACAGAAGGGACAAGACAATATAACAGCAGTGACTAAGGGTGGTAACAGTTGTGACTGAAAAGGATCTAAATACAGTTTCTGCTTTACTTACATAACCAATCAAACTAATATATTTTGTTTAAATTAAGTTTTATGAATTTATTTCAAACTTAGCAGAATCACAATCGTGATTGCTGCAGTAAGGGTATTTCAAATACTAGTAACATTAGGGACTTGAGATTAAGCGATTATAACAAGTTTTGACAAAAGTGTATTGATAAAAGTTTTATCTAATTTTCATAGCTGATTTGAAAGAATAATATATGCAGGTTTGACATTGTTTGACAGATTTGTTTGAACTGATTGACATAAGTGATCGAATCCCATGTGTTTTAGTTGTTTTGTAACAGGAGTGACAACATATTTAATGTATGAAAATGATTTTGGAGATTAAGTTTTTCAATTCCTTAGAATTACTTTCCAAGTACATTTCAATTTAAAAACTGTTTCACAAAAACTGATACCGATTTCAGTGAAATACTAATAGTATTACTCGAAGTGTATATGTTGTACGAGAGATATGTTGAGGGATATTAACAATTCGAAAGAATATGTTGTAACTTAGTGTATTGTTATTTTAATAGGTGTTTAAAACATATCTCTTCAGGTTTTACAAAAAAATGATTTGAAATGAAACATTGGTAGACACATTTTCTCCAATAATATGAGTTTAGTGGTTGTGTAACAGTAGTGACAAAGGTAGTGATAGGTTTTTGTCAAAATGATAATAAGTAAGTTTATGTTTTCAATAATGACAGAATATTGGAAGATTAGTGATAAGGTATCTTGAAACCCAATTTATTCAGTTTGGCATGTCCTTGAACATGTTATATTTTCCTTGTACTATTTCAGAAGACTCTAATGATTTTGGTTTAATTGTCAACATATTTCTCCATTCAGTTAATACATGTCTTTTGCAACTGTAATGACTAGGGCTGTGAAATCTTCTTTAAATGTTATATGTTTTCAATCTTTCATTTGGCTTTTTCAGTGCAAAGTATAAAAGATGGGCATGAGTGTGGTGGAACGCCAAAGGCGTTACAGGCAAAGGGAGAGATGGCACTCCAGAATCATAGTCACCTCTGGACAGTGTTACACCTATGACACCAGTGATGGTGCAGAATGTCCAAGTGACATCGTCACCTCTGGACAGTGTTACACCTATGACACCTGTGATGATGCATGATGTCCAAGTGACATCGTCACCTCTGGACAGTGTTACACCTATGACACCAGTGATGATGCATGATGTCCAAGTGACATCGTCACCTCTGGACAGTGTTACACCTATGACACCTGTGATGATGCATGATGTCCAAGTGACATCGTCACCTCTGGACAGTGTTACACCTATGACACCAGTGATGATGCATGATGTCCAAGTGACATCGTCACCTCTGGGCAGTGTTACACCTATGACACCTGTGATGATGCATGATGTCCAAGTGACATCGTCACCTCTGGACAGTGTTACACCTATGACACCTGTGATGATGCATGATGCCCAAGTGACATCGTCACCTCTGGACAGTGTTACACCTATGACACCAGTGATGATGCATGATGTCCAAGTGACATCGTCACCTCTGGACAGTGTTACACCTATGACACCTGTGATGATGCATGATGTCCAAGTGACATCGTCACCTCTGGACAGTGTTACACCTATGACACCAGTGATGATGCATGATGTCCAAGTGACATCGTCACCTCTGGACAGTGTTACACCTTTGACACCTGTGATGATGCAGAATGTCCAAGTGACATTTTTACCTCTGGACACTTTGGAAACACCTATGACACCAGTGATGGTGCAGAATGTTCAAGTGACATCGTCACCTCTGGACACTTTGGAAACACCTATGACACCAGTGATGGTGCAGAATGTCCAAGTGACATCGTCACCTCTGGACACTTTGGAAACACCTATGACACCAGTAAATCCCAACAAATGCATGATGCAGAATGTCCAAGGGACATCGTCACCTCTGGACACTTTGGAAACACCTATGACACCAGTGATGGTGCAGAATGTTCAAGTGACATCGTCACCTCTGGACACTTTGGAAACACCTATGACACCAGTGATGGTGCAGAATGTTCAAGTGACATCGTCACCTCTGGACACTTTGGAAACACCTATGACACCAGTGATGGTGCAGAATGTTCAAGTGACATCGTCACCTCTGGACACTTTGGAAACACCTATGACACCAGTGATGGTGCAGAATGTTCAAGTGACATCGTCACCTCTGGACACTTTGGAAACACCTATGACACCAGTGATGGTGCAGAATGTTCAAGTGACATCGTCACCTCTGGACACTTTGGAAACACCTATGACACCAGTGATGGTGCAGAATGTTCAAGTGACATCGTCACCTCTGGACACTTTGGAAACACCTATGACACCAGTGATGGTGCAGAATGTCCAAGTGACATCGTCACCTCTTGACACTTTGGAAACACCTATGACACCAGTGATGGTGCAGAATGTCCAAGTGACATCGTCACCTCTGGACACTTTGGAAACACCTATGACACCAGTGATGGTGCAGAATGTCCAAGTGACATCGTCACCTCTGGACACTTTGGAAACACCTATGACACCAGTGATGGTGCAGAATGTCCAAGTGACATCGTCACCTCTGGACACTTTGGAAACACCTATGACACCAGTGATGGTGCAGAATGTTCAAGTGACATCGTCACCTCTGGACACTTTGGAAACACCTATGACACCAGTGATGGTGCAGAATGTCCAAGTGACATCGTCACCTCTGGACACTTTGGAAACACCTATGACACCAGTGATGATGCATGATGTCCAAGTGACATCGTCACCTCTGGACAGTGTTACACCTATGACACCTGTGATGATGCATGATGTCCAAGTGACATCGTCACCTCTGGACAGTGTTACACCTATGACACCTGTGATGATGCATGATGTCCAAGTGACATCGTCACCTCTGGACAGTGTTACACCTATGACACCTGTGATGATGCAGAATGTCCAAGTGACATTTTTACCTCTGGACACTTTGGAAACACCTATGACACCAGTGATGGTGCAGAATGTTCAAGTGACATCGTCACCTCTGGACACTTTGGAAACACCTATGACACCAGTGATGGTGCAGAATGTCCAAGTGACATCGTCACCTCTGGACACTTTGGAAACACCTATGACACCAGTAAATCCCAACAAATGCATGATGCAGAATGTCCAAGGGACATCGTCACCTCTGGACACTTTGGAAACACCTATGACACCAGTGATGGTGCAGAATGTTCAAGTGACATCGTCACCTCTGGACACTTTGGAAACACCTATGACACCAGTGATGGTGCAGAATGTTCAAGTGACATCGTCACCTCTGGACACTTTGGAAACACCTATGACACCAGTGATGGTGCAGAATGTTCAAGTGACATCGTCACCTCTGGACACTTTGGAAACACCTATGACACCAGTGATGGTGCAGAATGTTCAAGTGACATCGTCACCTCTGGACACTTTGGAAACACCTATGACACCAGTGATGGTGCAGAATGTTCAAGTGACATCGTCACCTCTGGACACTTTGGAAACACCTATGACACCAGTGATGGTGCAGAATGTCCAAGTGACATCGTCACCTCTGGACACTTTGGAAACACCTATGACACCAGTGATGGTGCAGAATGTCCAAGTGACATCGTCACCTCTGGACACTTTGGAAACACCTATGACACCAGTGATGGTGCAGAATGTCCAAGTGACATCGTCACCTCTGGACACTTTGGAAACACCTATGACACCAGTGATGGTGCAGAATGTTCAAGTGACATCGTCACCTCTGGACACTTTGGAAACACCTATGACACCAGTGATGGTGCAGAATGTCCAAGGGCCATCGTCACCTCTGGACACTTTGGAAACACCTATGACACCAGTGATGGTGCAGAATGTCCAAGTGACATCGTCACCTCTGGACACTTTGGAAACACCTATGACACCAGTGATGGTGCAGAATGTCCAAGTGACATCGTCACCTCTGGACACTTTGGAAACACCTATGACACCAGTGATGGTGCAGAATGTTCAAGTGACATCGTCACCTCTGGACACATTGGAAACACCTATGACCCCAGTGATGGTGCAGAATGTTCAAGTGACATCGTCACCTCTGGACACTTTGGAAACACCTATGACACCAGTGATGGTGCAGAATGTTCAAGTGACATCTTTACCTCTGGACACTTTGGAAACACCTATGACACCAGTGATGGTGCAGAATGTCCAAGTGACATAGTCACCTCTGGACACTTTGGAAACACCTATGACACCAGTGATGGTGCAGAATGTCCAAGTGACATCGTCACCTCTGGACACTTTGGAAACACCTATGACACCAGTAATGGTGCAGAATGTCCAAGTGACATCGTCACCTCTGGACACTTTGGAAACACCTATGACACCAGTAATGGTGCAGAATGTCCAAGTGATATCGTCACCTCTGGACACTTTGGAAACACCTATGACACCAGTGAATCCCAACAAATGCAGGATGCATGATGTTCAAGGGACATCGTCACCTCTGGACACTTTGGAAACACCTATGACACCAGTAAATCCCAACAAATGCAGGATGCAAGATGTTCAATGGACATCTTTACCTCTGGACACTTTGGAAACACCTATGACACCAGTAAATCCCAACAAATGCATGATGCAGAATGTCCAAGTGACATCGTCACCTCTCGACACTTTGGAAACACCTATGACACCAGTAAATCCCAACAAATGCAGGATGCAGGATGTTCAAGGGACATTTTCACCTCTGGACACTTTGGAAACACCTATGACACCAGTAAATCCCAACAAATGCATGATGCAGGATGTTCAAGGGACATCGTCACCTCTGGACACTTTGGAAACACCTATGACACCAGTGAATCCCAACAAATGCATGATGCAGGATGTTCAAGGGACATCGTCACCTCTGGACACTTTGGAAACACCTACGACACCAGTAAATCCCAACAAATGCATGATGCAGGATGTTCATGAGACATCGTCACTCCTGGACACAAGATGGCGTTCAATGACATTGTTTCTGTTCTATAGACGTCATCTCTGCAAGTGTCTGGTACCTATAATGTTAGCTAGAAGTTCCCATCAGATGAAATGGCACAAGAATTTTGCACTTAGGAAAATCAAAATGACTGACAAAAGCTAGATGGGTTGTGCTTTGGTTGCCATGGCGTGAGTGACGGTATTTAGACGTGTTGTGCTTTGGTTGCCATGGCGTGAGTGACGGTATTTAGACGTGTTGTGCTTTGGTTGCCATGGCGTGAGTAACGGTATTTCGACGTGGTGTGCTTTGGTTGCCATGGCGTGAGTGACGGTATTTCGACGTGTTGTGCTCTAGTTGCCATGAATGACTATTGTTTTACCAGCAATATTTCAGCGATTCGCGGTTACCATGACATACGTCACTAGACCTAGATGTGTTGTGTTTTGGTTGCCATCACATACGTGACGAGAGCTAGATATATTGTATTTTGGTTACCATGACATACGTGACGAGAGCTCATGTGTTTTTATTTTGAATGCCTTGACATACGTGACGAGAGCAGGATGTGGTGTGTTTTGGCTACCTTGACATTTGTGACGAGAGTTTATGTGTTTTTTATTTGGTTACCTTGACATACGTGACTAGAGCAGGATGTGGTGTGTTTTGGTTACCTTGACATACGTGACGAAAGCAGGATGTGGTGTGTTTTGGTTACCTTGACATACGTGACGAGAGAAGGATGTGGTGTGTTTTGGTTACCTTGGCATACGTGACGAGAGCTCATGTGTTTTTGTTTTGGTTACCTTGACATACGTGACGAGAGCTGGATAAGTACTATTTTGGTTGCCATGACATACGTGACGGGTCCTCGTGTGTTTTTGTTTTGGTTACCTTCACATACGTGACGAGAGCCAGAATGATGGGTTACGTAAGTTACGAGATGAGGTAGATTGTTGTTTTCTCGTTACAACAAGTCGGCTAGAAGCACAACAGTATACCACGCGCACGAAGCCGAGTCGAGCACAACACATACATCCACAACACTCGCGTCCACGTGTACTCCAATAATTGCATACAAGTGTGTTGAGAAACCTTTACTCTGATCTGACATTTTAAATCATCGACCTTTCAATCAACGATTAAACAAATTGAGGGTTATTTTCTCAAATGAAGTCAACCTCGTTGCCATGGAATTCGTCAATTACGTAATCAAACACTCGCTTTGCCGCCTGTGTGTCGCCAATGGACTGGCGTTGAGGTCGGCTATGTTTGTGGACGTCTGTGCTGTTACTGGCAACGTACTCCACATGGGAAAATGAGGGGCATTCTCAGCCACTTCTTATTCTGATCCCCTCAAACTGGCCCCTCGCGAAACAATAAGCTCGTAAGTTTTGTCTTTGAACGATCAGAGGGAAAATACCACAATTATTCTGCTATAGTGGGGTCTATTTACACAGGTGTGGGCGCACAACAAATATATCTATCAGAGTAAACACAGCGCTCGTTAACGACAAACATTTGTCTCTAACTTTGACTTGATAATAGAGCACTAATAATCACTCTCCGCAGTGTGGACCACGTGCGCTGCCAATTATGCTTACTCGTGCAGCGATGTGCGCGCGCATATATCATGCGGGCTTGACTTCCGTTCTACCAGGTGGCTTCAAGTCGTTAATATATTGAGGTCTTGCAAGGGCAAGAGGTCATCGTGCTCTGAATGAAACTCCCAGCTATAAATCACCCCCTTCAATGTATTTCCGTGAAGAATCCCTGGTCGCAACGTGCATCCCCCTGCCGCAGTGTGATAATCCGCCTTTGGTTGGAGATCGTTTTAGAAATCGCACGTGCATTATAACCGGAACCAATTCGGGTTGTACATTAAATCCTGCATAAAGGCGCAGTTTCGTCAAGTTACCATTATTTACAGATCAAAAGATTTGACTCAGTTTCTAGAGAAAGTTTTAAATGACGTCTGAAATCGATATCAAGATTTTTCAGGGTTTTTTTCATGCATGGGGGATATCTTTTGTGCTCCCGCGGCAGTCGTGATATTACCATTAGCAGTGTATGATGACTGTAACCAGAAGATGATGCCAGCCTGCCATCATCACGACACGAAGCGGCGGCGTCCACTGGATCATTCTTCATTCACAGCAACTGCACAGGGACCCACCCCGTGGAATGAGATTCCCACCACAGTCCCCATGTTTATCGAGGCCTTGTGTCTGATGCTTATCAAGGCCTAGTGTCTGATGTTTATCAAGGCCTGATGCATGATTGTCTTCAAGGTCTGGTGTCTGATGTTTGTCAAGGCCTAGTGTCTGATGTTTATCAAGGCATGATGCATGATTGTCTTCAAGGTCTGGTGTCTGATGTTTGTCAAGGCCTAGTGTCTGATGCTTATCAAGGCCAAGTGTCTGATGCTTATCAAGGCCAAGTGTCTGATGCTTATCAAGGCCTATTGTCTGATGTTTATCAAGGCCTGATGCATGATGCTTGTCAAGGTCTAGTGTCTGATGTTTGTCAAGGCCTAGTGTCTGATGCTTATCAAGGCCTATTGTCTGATGTTTATCAAGGCCTAGTGTCTGATGCTTATCAAGGCCTAGTGCCTGATGCTTGTCAAGGCCTAGTGTCTGATGCTTATCAAGGCCTAGTGTCTGATGCTTGTCAAGGCCTAGTGTCTGATGCTTGTCAAGGCCTAGTGCCTGATGCTTGTCAAGGCCTAGTGTCTGATGTTTATCACGGCTTAGTGCCTGATGCTTGTCAAGGCCGTGTGCCTGATGCTTGTCAAGACCTAGTTTCTGATGCTTATCAAGGCCTAGTGTCTGATGTTTATCAAGGCCTAGTGCCTAATGCTTGTCAAGTCCTAGTTTCTGATGCTTGTCAAGGCCTACTGTCTGAAGCTTATCAAGGCCTAGTGTCTGATGCTTGTCAAGGCCTAGTGCCTGATGCTTGTCAAGGCCTAGTGTTTGAAGCTTATCAAGGCCTAATGCCTGATGCTTGTCAGGGCCTAGTGTCTGATGCTTGTCAAGGCCTAGTGTCTGATGTTTATCAAAGCCTAGTCTGAAGCTTATCAAGGCCTTGTGTCACATGATTGTCAAGAAATACTGTTCCGTGGTTGTCACAACCTTGTGTCCAATGCTTATCAAGGTTATATATCTGGGCTAGTTCAGTCCCACTGCCCCATCCTAGCCAAGGCCATATATCCAAGTGTCTTAAAGGGACATTACGTCGACCGTTCTGAAGTATTGTTTGTAAACAATAGCCGATAACCCTCACGCTTACTCGGCTCTGCCCACATTATTCCGCGAAAGAATTTTATTCACCAGTGACCACACAGCGGTCGTAGGCTTATCACGTGACCGGGCTCTTCTGTTTGTTATCAAACGCACTTATTCTGAAAAAAAGAACAGACGGGCCTGAAGCGAGACTTTAGATGTGCTTTGCATACTGTTTTGCATAATTATATATACATACTACTACAACTGCGACAGTGAGGTGCGTGACAAAATAGCTTTACACGAAGCGACTGTATCGCTAACTCTCGGTTTGGCTTCGGGGATAGCACGAGGAGGAAAAGGTCGCAAATGGAAATAGCTTTTTTTCACGTTTTAGGATATTTTCTCAGTAAAAGTGAAGTTTATCTAAATGTGTTGAATCGTCTAAAAATCGTCACAATGTGAAATAGCTTTTTTTCACGTTTTAGGATATTTTCTCAGTAAAAGTGAAGTTTATCTAAATGTGTTGAATCGTCTAAAATAAAACAGATGAAATCACATGGATGGATTGTGTAAGATGTGACGGTGTGAGGTATTTGGCTTGGCCGCAAGGAACTCTGGGAAGGAGAGTGATTGGCTTCATACGACAATAGCTTATTTATAATGTAATATAGGCTTTGATAAACAGTGGTTTCTCATGTAATCTTGCCAGCAATTAGTATTTTGTATCTTATCCGTAATAAAAACACGCAAGCTTTCTCTTCAATTTGCCTCAAATAAAAAAATATGACTGAAGACAGTTTAATTTGTGCAACGCTTGCGTTGTTGACTTCGCTGTGCGGAGCTCTATTGGTTTGGTTTGAGAATTGTATGGTGACGTCACAATGGGAAATTATTTCATGCATGATTTATAAACACAAAGAACTGTCGACGTACTGTCCCTTTAAGACTTTGTGCCCAATGCTTGTCAAGCCCATATATCCAAGTTGCATATGTTCTTGTGCCCAGTGACACGCCACCAACTAAAGTGACACACGACCATCTACACACCATCATCTACAGTGACACATCTCCATCTACAGTGACACACCACCATCTACACGCCACAAACTAAAGTGACACACGACCATCTACACGCCATCATCTACAGGGACACATCTCCATCTACAGTGACACACCACCATCTACACACCACCAACTAAAGTGACACACGACCATCTACACACCATCATCTACAGTGACACATCTCCATCTACAGTGACACACCACCATCTACACGC